GGGCGCCCCCCCCGGGCCCCCGCCGCACCTGCAGGCTTTGGGGCTGGCTGCCGGCAGAGCGATGCTCAGCCCTTGGGCACCGCTCCAGCTCATAGCAGCTGAGCAAAGCGCACACCCTCGCCTCCAGCTGAAGACCTGTACCTATGGATTTCCTCTCCCAGGAAGGAGGGAGAGGAAAAAAAAAAAAAAAAAGAACAATCACATTTAAAATGACACTCTGCTCTTTGGGACTTGGCAGAATAAACCATGAGCAATGCTCGATGACCCTGCCCACACAAAGCCCTTTTGCTAGCACAGAGCCAGCACCAAATTCGGGCACTATCACACACCACAACACACACCACAACACACACCATGCCTCCGCTGCCTGTGCCAGGGGCTGTGCATCGTACCTGCTCCCATTCCCATCATCCCATTGCGAGAGGCACCAGCAGCCCTGAAGCCACAGCCCTTGGGGACGCACACACAGCCTGGGGCATGCTGCAGAGGGCTTTGCACAGGGGACCCCAAGCAAAAGCTGAACCCCCAAATGATCAGATCGACCCTCGATTCACACACACCTGTGCCCCAAACTGAGCATCCCTCGACCATTTCCACCAGGGACCACTGCAGCGCTACATGCAGACAAGCCGTCCCAGCAAAGGGCAGCTCGGGGGTGTGCTGGATGAAGGGAGGGATCGGTTGAGACAGACTAATCTCAGCTCAAAAAATGGGGCAGGGAAGGTGCTGGCTGGCTGGCTGACACGCAAATTAATATTTATAATTAAGTGGAAAGGCCCCTGAAGGCTTGCACTGCCACCTGACTCTATGAGGGAGACTACTTCATAATTAATACACCGGTCAAACAGCTCACAGAAAGTAAGTTACATGACGAATTTACCCCATTCTTGCCCTTTTCTGCTAGTGTATCAATCCTTCCCCTCTCTGCAGACGGCATCATGGGTAGCAGGATGTACTCCAGGTTCTTGGGTCCAAACCCCACTTGAGGCAGGGCCAGCGGGATCAGGTCATTCACCCTGACGATGCCCCAGCACAACACAGTGGTCCTGCTTTGGGGATACCAAGGAATAGGGACGCCAAGGTCCAAGTCCTGCCCTCAGCACAGTTCAGAGCAATCTCAAAGCCTCCATCATCTTCACCTTCTCTTTCTAGGTTTTGGGGCCGTGACACAAGTGGATTGCACTGCTGCAAAGCTGCTGATCCTGTCTATTCCTGGCAGCTTCAAGTGCTTTGAACCGGTCACCAACGACTCCCTGCAAGGCGTGACGAGTCTGAGCGACAAAATCTGCTTTCAACCAGCCTTCGATCTGGGGGATGAAATGATCCCCCAAGGCCACCTCTTCCTGGAGAAGCCCCCAGGATTTGATGCATGAGTGAGCATTCCTTCTGCACACTGCGAGCTGGCCAAACCCCACATCTCCCTCCTGCCTTCAGCCCCTGCAGCGACTCTTGGCAGATGCAGGATTTGGCAGGGGGAGGAGAGGTTGGTGAAACTGTTTGCACAAATGGGACCTGGTGGAAACCTAAAGTCATTGCTGAGAGGCTGGAGAGCTGGCCCCACAAGAGAAATA